GCTGTACCTTTGCCGAGCAGCTGTACAGCCCGACAGTTGTAAAGCTGGGAGGGACCCCTAGCCATTTTCTGAGGCATTTGCTGACGTGCTGTTGGATTGCTTCAACATGAGTGAGTGTTACCTCGTAAATCCGTAGCGGCCAAAGCAGACGAGGAAGGAGGCCATGCTGGAAAATCCATGCCTTCAGCTTTCCAGGGAGATCTGTCTCATTGATGGCTATTAAACCTTCCTTTGCAGTTTTCTCAATTTCGGTACTGCGATGGCGGTCAGTAAGCGGGATGCTATACCACCAGCCGAGACTCTTTACAGGTTGCTCTTTAATGGTTGGAATCTGGTCACCACCAATGGAGAAGTGGATTTCTTTGACTTTGACATAAAGCTTCACATCATAATGGCAGTTGACATGAAACTTTGAATTTACTTCATGTAAGTGGTTGCCAAAAGTTTACATTTTGTGATGTCTTACATGAAACAAACCAGGATTCGTAAACAAACGCTCAAGAGTGTGCAGCATGGATTGGAAATCACCTTACATTTCACAACAGCTTAAGTTGTGTATATAACTGTGATGATCGATAATATTATGTCTTAATTATGGTTTTTATTCAGAATTATTAAAGATTATAAACTTCAGTTTGAATTTACAATAAAAGATGTGTAAATATGAAAAGAAAGGTAAACAGATACATTCAAATATACAATAAAATCTAAGTAATTAACTAGGAAATGGTTTCAAATGAAGAGGCATATATTTATAAAACTATTTTAAAACGTTCTGTCTTAACGAGGAGTAAAACAAAGTTGTGGCCTCTCTCATGAGTTTGGCATGTGCAAGTAGGAGGATGTTTACTCTGCTTGACATAATTTAAATGTTTTTGTTTACAAGGAACTATTTTGTTACTGCATTAACATTGGCAAATTTGTAGCTCTTCTCAAATGTTTATGCAGATGAAAGCGATTTCTGGTTAGCTGCAGTCATAGTTATACCCGGTATATTTATAATGACTGTGTACTATTTTAGAGGTCTGAAGTGGGGTATTGATTTTTGTTCAGATCTGATAAATGAAAATCACAGATTTTAGTCTGAATTGAGGTACAGATTTCAAGCATACTGCACATGTATGTATGTAGCACACGGCCTGCACACCCCCACAAAAAACTTTGGGTAGCACCCCCTTGGGGGGGGGGGGGGGGTTCACCATGGTAAACAATCTCACACTGCTCCCGGCACAAGCCACGACAACAAAATAGGATCTTGGTACCTCTTAGGGGTTCTTTTAAAATTTGTGACGAGCACCCCCGTCTTTTTTACACGGGAGCCCCCCCTCCCCCCTCCCCCCTCCTCGTTGCAGTACTATCCTATAAGTTCTTATTTTACCAAGTTTGAAAAATTCGTCAGTGAATCATAAAGCATTTTTAACTTTCCAACGAGGACTTGAAAGTCAGCACAAAAAACACAAGCTTAACTGTGATGGTACAACGAAATAACATTGCTATCTAGCGAGACTTTCTGCCCCTACATACCGATACTTAACTTACGATCATGTTTTCATTGTTTTTCAGCAATAGAGGAATTACAGGGTTCTATCGTTAAATTCATACAACTTCTTGTCTTTCCTTATAAAGAATATACTTACTAAAGGTTCTCTCTCTGGAACAAATCCAAAAACCGCTGATACATCAAACTCCTGCGGTGAGGGAATGGAGCAAACAGAAGCCATCGATGAGGAAGAAGAAAGATGGGAGTCTGGGAACGAATGAGCGTGGGATCGCGTGTGTTGCTGGCGCGTGATCACTCGTCACTC